TTATCCAATGTTATGCATCAACCAATGATAGCAAAAAACATCATAAAGATAAGTTTTATGAGAGGCTAGAATCAATCATAGAGAAGTGCTCAGGAAAGGAACCGCCCATTCTGATGGGAGGCCTAAACGTCGATGTCGGAATTTACAACACCGGATATGAAGATATCATGGGACGACATAGACTGGGAGACTGAAGTGAAAATGACGAGAGATTTGCAGACCTATTCGCATTCAACAAATCGGTTTTAGTCGGCACAATATTGCCCCACAAACGCATACACAAAGTTACATTGGTCTCACCGGACCACACGACGGAGAAACAGATCGATCATATTTGCATCAGTAAAAAAATTCGCAAGGTCAATGGAAGACGTGAGAACCAGGAGAGGAGCTGACATGCCTGTATAAGACTCTTCAACTATGCGTACTCACGATCCATGGCGGTCTATCACTTATCGGTTCATGATTTTAATGGAACTCAACAATCTCCACAACCCCATACTACTCACTAGAATATTGTTAAATTGATCCACTAACGTACAACTTTCGCATATAATGTCTCAGTAGTAATATTTATTGAGTCCAGTGTTTATTATATTCTTGTATATGTACATGATGATACAATGAATTATATATATATATGTCCAAGTTTAGTTCTTATTCTTTACTTATCTACTTAAGTACGTCTATTAGCATCTGTGGTTCAAAGGGCCCCTGTAAAAGTTCTCCATCCAACTCTGTCCTTGAAATCCTTTCCACTTGTTTCCATTTATAATTCATCCTTTTTATGTCTGCTTGCAACCATCGACACAACTTATTCTTTGGTCTTCCTCTTCTCCATTTCCTTTCAGAATTTCAAGTTGGCGCTCATCTCGTGATGTAGTTTCCGTAATGTATTTCCTATTCACTTCCAGCATTTTTTCCTAATTTCCTCTTCATTTGGAAGTTCGTTTGTTCTCCACCATAGTAATTTGTTGTTGATAGCATACGGTCGACGGATATTAAGTAACTTGTGTAGACAATTGTTTAAAAATACTTGTACTTTTTGATGGTGGTTGTGTCAGTTCTCGAAGGTTCAACTCCGTAGAGTAGAATTGTCTCGAAGTCTGTACTGAAGATCCTGACTTCGATGCTGACTGACATTTGTTCTGAGTTCCATATGCTCTTCAACTGTAGGAGTGCTGGTCTTGTTTTGCCAATCCACACCTTTACGTCTGAATCCGATTTTCTTTGTTAATTGATGATGATGTTCAGGTACATGAAAGTTTCCACATCTTCCAGATCTCCATCAAGTGTGATTGTGTTGGTATTTTCTGTGTTGTATTTGAGGATCTTGCTCTTTCCTTCGCGTATGTTAAGGCCTATTGCTTCAGAGGCTGCCCCTACGCTTGTTGTCGCCATCTGCATTTGTTCGTGTGTATGGGACAAAAGGGCCAGGTCATCTTCGAAGTCTAAATCGTTTAGTCGCACTCAAACTGTCGATTATATTCCGTGCTTTCCGCCAGATGCTGAGGTCTTCAGTCAACCACCAGAAGAAAGAGAAAATGTGAGACTAAGCACCCTTTTCTGACACCGGTCTTCACATGGAATTCATTTGTCAGTTATCCTCCATGCACCATTGTACAGTGTAATTTGTTGCATGAATTTCGAGTGATATTGATGATCTTCTTAGGAAAATCACATTGTCGAAGAATGTTCCTATCGATACTGCCAAGTGCTTTCTCATAGTCAATGAAGTTGATGTGTAGTGACGAGTTCCATTCAACTAATTGTTTGACGATGATCCGTAGTGTCGACCGACCGTTAAGGAATCCGGTATGTTGATCTTGAAGTTGGGCGTATACTGAGTCTTTCATTCGGTTCAACAACACTTTGTTGAAAACCTTATCTGATACTGACAGTATTGTGATGCCACTGTATTTCTCACATTTGCTCAGATCTCATTTCTTTGGTATCTTGATGAAGTTTCCTTTTTTCGAATCTGTCGGCACTTGTTCTCGCTACCAAATCTTTCTGAATAGAGTGTGAAGTATGTTTGCAGTTTCTTCTATGTCTGACTTTAGTGCTTCGGCTGGTATACTGTCAGGTCCTACTGCTTTTTCACTGTTAATCTTTCTGATGATAATCCTGATTTCCTCGATCGTTAATGGAGTAACAGTTATAGGAATGTGTATGTGTGCTGCTTCGATATCCAATGGATTCAATGAAGCTGGTCAACTTAAGAGATCCTTGAAGTGTTCCACCCATCTTTTCGTTTGTCCTTGTATTTCAGTGGTTGTCTTGCTTTCTTTGTCGTTGATCGATCTCTCTGGTCTACTATATTTTCCTACTAGTTCCTTCGTTGTGTCATATGGCTGTCTCATATTTCCTTCCTTTGAAGCTTTTACCACTGTCGTTGCAAGCTCTTCCATGTATTTCTGTTCATCATCTCTAATGCTTCTCTTCACTAACTTGTTTGCTTCTGTGTACTCAAGTTGTGCCTTGACTTTCTCTGTTTATGTCCGGCTGTTGTTAATTGCTGTCACTTACTTGATTCTCTTAAATTATGTGCTCTTCGAATTCTATTCAATTATTACGTAACCCATCTTATCAGATTTTAATTCCATGAATCTCATGTAAACCCTGCATTACCTCTAAAATTATCACACGATTTATCTTATCTGTCTCTGAACTCCACTCAACTATTACATCACCCATCCTTAATGTTTCCTTGATTCTAACACCAAATAACCTCTGACCTGTTCTTGCATATATACATCATTATTATTGATAACTTTTTTCATTTCAATTGTTTACATTCACTTATATCAATTATTCCATACTATTTCTTATCTCAATGTAAAATTCTAATACATATCTGATTGTAAGCAGCTGATGAGAAACCACGAAATATAATGAATTCATATTATTCTGCATTCTTGTTCTTCCATCCTACACGTTCACCAACTGTAGATACAGAACGATTCCGACGAGTATTAGATTCCATTTGTGAATCACTACGTTTATTTCTCGATTTACTACTGTCACTTTCATGTGAATTTTCTCGATCAGAATCATTATCAGAATTGACCTTTATTTTGATATGTTTAGCACTTTCACTGTCTGATCCTAATCCCATACTTTTACGTTTATAATACACATCACCATTGATATCGAAATTGTCAACGGAAAATCTTTTCGAGTAACTACTTCGTTTTCCACCTCTTCTCAACTTGGCATATTTGAATGTGCGTTTTCCATACTTGTCAATTGAACCCTTCACCTTGAATCTGGATGAACGAGTTGACATACTGTCATATTCCCCTCGTCCATGTCTATTGAAATTACCTTTAGCATTTACTTCTCCCTCTTCTTTAAATGCATATCTTTGATTTGAATTTCCTGAAAACCACGACAATTCGAATTCACCACGAAATGAGCTGTTTTTCTTTGCACCATTCGTGTTACCTTTGCGTGATTTCAAACCACTCTTTGTTGTTGAAGACCTGGAATCATTATTATGGAAAATGTTTGAGCTCTCGTGTATGTCTTGGTTTAGTATGGTAGGTAAGAAAATGAAGGATATCAATATGATTATTTTCATTCTTGTATTTTCTCATATAAATTATCCTGTTACAACAAATCGGTCATTAAATTTTGATTCCTTCCAATTATATACTTGTTGACTGGAATTGCAATTTTATGTAATGTTCGCAATTCACTTTCATGAGATTGCACTTGAGTAATCGATTGTTTGTTATGTTTCAACTTAATGATAAGGGTGAATTGTTGTTAGATAAACGACGCAATGCTTTGTGAAAAATCTCTCCTTAAATAGAGACTAGAAATGAGATTAAGAAAATGTATACTATTTGCTACTTCCTAAACACTTTTTGATAGATACATCCATTGAGATTTTAGTAAGTACACAGACCTACTCACTGATGAGACTAGCTCTCATTTACGCTAATGATTGATGAGTTATTCTGTGAACAATCAAATGCTGAATAACTCCATTTTCTGTTGAAGACTATGAATGTGTGATTAGAATGTTAGAATAAGAAATTTTTCTTCATTTTTGAAAATTTCTATCAATTTATTTACAGTTATGTTTTTTTCGAATATGGAATGTAGTAGTTGACGACGCATATGTTGCTTCTTTGTGTTCTGTTATACGATGATTATCTGTTGCTGCCTCATTTTGTGTTTATTGAAATATTTTTATTATCAATTTCTATTTCATCTTCTCTTCACACACAATTTAATATTTATACTTTACATAAGTCTTTGTGTAGATCAACATAGAAACATTTTTTTAATTGGTTCGATAAAACAAATTGAGTATTCTGTATCAATTTTCTATGGTTCTAAAGTTAATCTTGCTAATATAAATGTTTCTTGTTGTCCGATCTAGATTTCTGTAATTTTTTGTTTTTATTCTGTTGATAATCTGTATTGTTTATTATTTCTAATACTACGAGAAAGTTTGCTTTGAATTTTTGAACAGATTTATTTACCTCACTTTTTAACTTTATATTACTGCTGATGTTTTGTAAACTAATCGTTTTAATTATCAGAATGTGTTTTGTGGAGATTTCAGAAATTTTCACAGATTGAAATCATGAGACGGTTGAAGCTAGACCACCATTGAAAACCTGGAAGCACTGGACGGCCGTTTCGTCCTAGTATGGGACTCCTCAGCAGTGCGCATCCACGACCCCGCACCACCCGAGGCTCGAACCCAGGACCTACTGGCTTCGCGCGCGAGCACTAAACCATTAGACCACTGAGCCGGCATCTTTTTAACCTTGTGTGGTTTAGTTAGTATTCTGTGTTGTTTTTAGATTGTTTTGTCTTGTATTTGATTGTCTATTTGATTGAATTTGATTGAATAAGCTAATGTCTGTGTATAATCGATTTTGAATGATCTTGTACAGGGGATTGTTTACTGATCGAGCGTTTATGATAAAATGTGGTGAAGAGATTTGACATGCATGGAGATAAGAAGCGTAGCTGTTTTTTTTAAATTTATTTTTCAAAGATTGTTTATCTAATGTTTTAGTCTATCAGGTATATGTCTAGTTACAAAAATCAAACTGTTCGTTCCATTTAATTAGGAACTCTAGCTGAATATTGATGTTGGAACTTGAACTCTGTACTTATCGATTCAAACGCTGAACTTGTTATCTACTGAACTACTGAATACATATGGTTACTAGGTTTTTAAATGAATATGAAGTTGTTAATATGTAATGAATGCGTTATTCCGTGTGTCTGCTAATGTGAACTGGAAGTCATAAGTTTATATGTTCCTTCAGAAGGTAGGAACTTGGCGATTATACTCAACAAATCTTTATGGTCATAGCGTTGGAATGAATCTATAGGAACAACGATCTAATCATTTGCAGTTCTGAGTATTAGAAACGGAAAATTTTAACCCTTTACTAGTGATTTTACAATGTTTTCACTAAAATAGAAAGAAATACAATAGTTTTCTTTAAATAATGAAGAAATAAAATCATTTTTTGCATAACATGAAGACCATTTATGAATAATTACAAAAGTTTTTTGATTATAGTTGGGATTATTTACCGGTTAATGGAATTGATGCATTAGTCGAGTTTCCATAATTAGTAGTAAAGTTTTTGTGTAATGATCTGTATCCGTCTTTGTAGACTGATGATTCTGGATATTCCGGCTTTGCATTCGTGTTATCATTATAATCTTTATTATTAATATAATTCTTTTTTATGTAACTATCTTTTTTTTCGGATTTTGTCAACTGATTTTTATTCTGATTCATTTTAATATTACCGGTTACATCAAAAATATTAAAAATCATATTTTCACGATAACCATTTGATCGTCCACGTGTTTGAAATCGTGAATAATACTTTCTTCGACCATATATATCTGTTCCAGTATGTAATGAGAAATATGTACTTTCTGAATAACTGCCACTTTTTGCACTATTTCCACGAGATTTTATTTGATCATTCCGATATGCATAATCATGATCTCTAGGATGAATAGATTTTTTATTTCTTTCAAGATGTTCATCGTTACTATTCCTTTTTTCTTTGTTATATGAATATTGTTTTGATTTACTGTTGACATTCTTAGATTGATAGTTTCTTTTGTGATTGTGATGATATGAATGTTTATTTTGATTACCATTATTATAATCATTATCAGCCTTAATAAATGTTATAAATAATGATAATATAATGGATATAAGTAGTAAATATATGTATTTCATAATTTTAAATTAATCATAAATACGTTTTACATAAATTCAATGCGTTTTTTGTATATAATAATATCTTATATAGATATTGTGCCTTCTACTACTATTATATATTCAATCATATAATTAACTTAATGTTCCCTTAATCAATAATATTGTTCGAATACAATTTCTAGTATAAATAAAGTTCATTAAATAGCGCACATATAAGGTTTTACTAATTATAGAGAAATATGTATTATTACCATTATTATTATTATTATTATTATTATTATTATTATTATTATTATTATTATTATTATTATTATTATTATTATTATTATTATTATTATTATTATTATTATTTGATATATCTACTTTAACGCCACTGTGAAATATTTTGATTCCAAGTTTTCTTTTTTTTTTTTATAGAATAGATAGAATGTAGCTAACAATGAAGTCCAAGATATTTGTTCTTTCCATTTAGGATTTGTCGTTTCGATATGCTTATATATTGGAGTTAATGTTCACCCAACTTGTAATTCGTTTAGTGATTGTATTCAAATAATAAATCACTTATGCATTAAGTATGAATTTTAGTTCAATTTGTAATGGTTCTTGAATTGTTAAGTTGTTATTATTTTTGACTAAATTTTAGTCAGTTTTATTTGATGTTCAATTAAAAATTATACCCTTTCCATATTAAAGTGGCTATGGGGAGTCAGTAGCTAAGTAGATAATGCAGTTGAGAGAAAGGTTCTGGGTTTGAGATCAATGATGACACATCAACATTGGAATGGAAATGCATCCATCTGACAAAAAACGTGTCGCCCGTTTCACCTCTAGCCACAAATATGTTTATTATATATTTTTGACTACTGCTTGAAGAAGTAGTGGTTCACATGAAGTAGTATATGTTTTGCAGGAATATCAACGTTTTATCTACTTGACAGATGCATGTTTATATATTTTCATTAAAGTGGAAATCCAAGTTTCTGCACTTCCCGGTAGTATAGATAAAATTATTCGATGTAACATATCAGCTAATTGGTATGATGAACAAGCGTTTATTTTTATAAATAAACTCGGTTCTGAAATCAGTTTATTTTTTCAACACGGTGAATCCTTTTTTGATAGAGATTGACTGTGACGAATGCACAGTAATTTCGATAGGAAAATGAATTGTTTAGCAACAGATAAATTGACTCTTTCTTAGCTATATGGTGAAGTGAGATACTTTTCAACAAAGTAGAATTCTACAACTGGAAAATAAATATAACAGAAAAATCGATGGAACCACCTGAAATAAACTTTAATTTGTTAAGTGAACTTATGTGGCTGACTGTCAGTAATTAAGGTCTATCCTTTAAATGATTAACTTTTGTTGTGAACGGGGAATTAAGAAGCCTAGACAATTACGAAAGCTATTTTCTTGGGACGTTATTGCATTTCATTCAAACTCTGTAAAACACTTATATTTATTTTTGTCCCTATCTTATTCTACATAACACGAGCTTTCGTTCTATGTATCATTCACTAGCATACTCTTTTTTGTTCCGAAAATATTGTAATTTAAACATAGTAATTTGCACTGTATTTTTTACCCTAATTCCCTGTTTCGGTCATAACTGTATTTTTCCAAATTATTGTACGTCGTAGTCAAGATATTCACTTATTTATTCATGTACATTTTTGTATTAATCCGAATTCAGATAATTCAGAGTTCAGTGTTCCAACTTTCTTGTCTTCTCTCACCTGCGTGCTTGCCAACCAATCAGGTTCTAGAATAGTTATCTCTCTACCCCATCCCGAACTCACGCGTGATAGACTAAAGGTTAAGCCGCTCACCCTATCGCGTCAAGGTCATAGTTAAATCTAGACAGATCAAGGTGAAGTCATAACAAGTATCACGGGGTAAAGCGATTCAAGGTCATAACATATTTAGAATTATCTTTGGTCTTGGTTACAGTACTGTCAATCTACATTTCCTAAACAATAGTGCATGTCTGAAACGCTGTTCTTACAAAGCAAGCAAATGAAAATGTGAGAAATCTGTGTGATGGCAGTTAATAAGGTACCTATAAGTGTCATCACTGAGATACTGCTTTAAAATAGTCTCATAAGGTTGAAGGCTTCCGTTGGAAATTTGTGGAATTTTCAACTACCCAGATAACGAAAGTTACTATTTGAAGACTATTTATTTTACGCAAATAATATTTGTTAAGCAACTAGATAAGGTTCGAATAAGAATAATATATTTCGGAAATCTCTTCGAGTTTGTATGATAATTGCAGCAGTTCGATATTATTTATTTGAAACACAAGAAGCCTACACCATGATAGAAGGGTATACCGCAAAACAATTATGTATTATTTTAATCCTTTTAATTCATTTGTACTTATCTACATTAGTAGCTAGGAATTTTTATCTATGGATGCTTGTCATAAGTGTGTGTGACTGTTCGTATGTTTGTGTATCTTATCCAAAAAAACTATTTCGACTACATAAGCTCGCTCAACGATTAAGATAGCAATTGATGGTCTCACCAATTTACACATATCATATAAAGTAATTCACACTTTCTAATGTAAAACACGACAATAGGCAGCAAGAAAGTGTGTTTATTGCAAGAAGTTATTAGTATACCTAGACTTCAATTGTTTTATTTGCCTCTTTCAGTGTGTTCTACAGTCTTCTGAAATGTCTTTTCAACTGACTTCTAAGTATTCTGCCAACGATCAGTTTTTGATGTTTTGAAACTCTTCACTCCGTCTGACAGTTGATGCAACTTTGATATCACATTCCGCTACACACTAATCAAAAACGATCTTATGGATAGCAGATACTACACTATAACCTCCGTGTATTTTACGTTTGGTCTACTGAGTTAGCGTCTGAAATATATTTATTACTAAAGCCTTTTACATCACAATTTTAAAATTATTCTGCCAACTGAGTTTAAGATCGTAACAGGAATGGTTTAGGAAACATAAGAAATTAACTAAGATCTGGAGTAACTTGGGCCAATTACACGCTGAATTATCTGAAACAAATCTGCCTATTATTTTGTTAAAAGAAATCTGATGAAATTTGACTTAAAACTGAAAGAATACTATGATATTTATACCTCATGCGTTAATGGGAATGTTATATTACTTGGTGGTAAATTGAAAATTGATGTCTTAACACTATAGTTGGTAGAATACAAAAATGTTAAAAGTTTAGGTGATCAGTAAATTTCGCCTCGATCTAATATTAAGTGAAATCCAATGGCTCAAAATTATGTAGCATTATGTTGGATCAATTGAGTGATTTGGATTTTAGAAGCTAACAGCTTTCTGTCTTAATCAACTGAAACGTTTTCAAATTTCTACCGCTATAATGTTGATTTAAAAGTTGCTGATATCAGATAATACTGATCGGATTACCGACAGCTTGGTTTTTTCATCTGTGATCTAGTTTACCCATGATATACTAGGTTGGTAGATGAGTTTTAAAAATAATAAATTATAGTTACTCCAACCTAAACAATTTCTAATTACTACTGACAAACATCAATACATATCAATGAATTTTGGAAATATGTGTTTTAATTTATCTAATACAATATATTAAGTAAATATAGGCAGTCACAATCACTCCAACATCTAACCTGAACACATTTTTATAAGTTTCGAAAAAGTGCAGAAAAAACGAGTCAAATAATAATTTACTTTCGATTGCATAGTACTGATATCAAAATCACATACTTGATCTTGTCAAAGTTAGAACTCATTTTCAATCATTTTTCGTTTGTGCACACAATGACATATTGTAGGACTGGGGTGTATTTGCAAATGATGGATCATTTGGTAGTGACCAATACCGTTTATCTCTTGTCTTTCCTGAGCTGATCGAATTCTATCGATCAAACTGGAATGTGGTTAAGAGTAGTCTAAGTGACTTGACATTTTCATTTCTATCGATCAGCATTAGGAAGGACATGAAATACGAGATAGTGTTCACTACTCAGTGATCAACTAATTGTGAAATGGTTGTTATTTGGTTTATGTTGAATACTGATGTAATCAACAAGACCTATCGATATTAACTAGATGCATCTGATTTCAGAGTCAATCCTATCCATATCATGTCATTAGAGTAATCACACTTTATCTTGATTAATGAATTGGAAACTAAATATCTGAAGATTTCACTTGTTAAAGATATTTCATTGCGAATTGATTATCAAGTCATTTCATGTGATGGATGTGAAGTGGATAGATGAATGAAACTCATTGTAATCAACAGTGGTGTGGTACATGAATTATTTGTGAAAGTCAATGTAAAAGGATGGAAGAGAATTACTAAGTATCGAAAACATGTTCTGGTTCAGTTTGAAACCGAATGCATTTGATATGATGGAACCGAAATTTATTATAATACTATGTCCTAAACGAATAAAATTCAGTTTGAAATGACTATCTTGTACAATGTATTTTGAACAGGGTTCAATGTGTTGTCTACATGTAATCATCCTATGTATCATCTAAGACAATTGAGGATGAAATCATTAGAATTTTTACGTAGATAAGTGCATCGAAGACGCGATCATTCTATCATTTTGTTGTTTCGACTGCCATGTTCATTCTGTAGCATGACTGGTAATCCACGTGTGAATGGATAAATTGTACGGTGCAATTTAACTGGATTGATAGGTGTGAATAAAGGAAAATGTTTGTGGTGTCTTTTGTTTTCAAATACATTTACCCACCTGATCTTACAATGCCTGATCTGTTAAAATGAATTATAAGAGTTTGCAAATGTGATTTAGAAGAATACAAACAGTGTGAAAGAGATTTCATCTTCCAGTGATGAGGGAGATGAAAGTAGTGAATTTTGTAAACGATGACTCAATATGATGATGAGAGTGAACCTAATGTAGCTAACGCCCATTGATTGTGAAGAATGATTTGAAAGAAAAGAATGAGGGATTGGTAGGAACAAAATAATATTGATAGTAATGTGAAACTGAATATTAATTTCGAACACGGAATATCCATTAACGTGTAGACGTGTAAATTTAAGATATTTATTTAATTCATTTTCGACGTCGCGGTGTAGTAATGTTTGCAGTCCTTTGAAAGTCTTTGAAATTGCGAGTAACAGATCCTTGATTACCAGTTTCTTTCACAGAGCGGCTTCCACTCTCACTAGATTTCCTATCATTTCGAGAAGCTTGCGACTTATGTCCACCTGACACAAACGCATGTCGATCTTCTTGGATGTATCCACCGAGTTTAGTACGCTTCCGACCCTCTGATATGTATCCATTCACATCGAACACATCACGTATTTTCTTTCTGTCGAAACTGTCTGCCTCACCATAACTTTCGAATATGGAACTTCGTTTCTTTTGATCATTGTGATCGTAGCTAGAACGTTTTCTGAATATGGTTTTCACATGTGATTTACTGCCTCGTCTACGTTTTCCGAGGAATGTTTGGTAACCGTTAGTATAAATATCACTTTTTCTTTGATTTGCGTATTTCAGTTGGAATTTTCGTTGTGAAGATTGGAATCCGACATCACCACTTGAACTTGAATGTGAATCTTTGCTCTTTTCCCGTGAATGTCTAGTTGTGTTATCTCTTATAACCGTTTCCCTACGGTCATTAGTGTGATTTGTGCGATGTGAGGCTGTGCTTTCAGATGTGTGATTAACTAGTTGTAATTCTTGACTGTTAACATTTATACATAGAAGTGAAAATAGAGCGATTGCTAATAACAAACACATGAAATAAGTTGTCATTTTAATTAGTTTATAGTGAAAACCATTGAGTTATGTGAATAAATTTATCCTTCATTTCTATACGTCGTACATTGATATTTACTCATTCGTTTATTTATTGTAATTCAGTTGTTCGTAAAAACTGATTATAAATTCGTATTTAATGAACATGTGATGGAATGTGAGCAGTGCATTCTGATGAATCGATATGTAGAGCATTTTTATTACACTTCACGATGTATTTGGTATTTTCGAAGTATTAAAATACTTATTTACTTACTTACGCCTATTACTCCCAATGGAGCATAGGCCGCCGACCAGCATTCTCCAACCCACTCTGTCCTGGGCCTCCTTTTCTAATTCCATCCAATTCTTGTTCATCTTTTTCATGTCTATTTCCATTTCTCGGCGTAATGTGTTCTTTGGTCTTCCTCTCCTCCTTTGGCCTTGAGGATTCCATGTGAGGGTTTGTCTTGTGACACAGTTGGGTGCTTTCCTCAATGTGTGTCCTATCCACTTCCAGCGCTTCTTCCTGATTTCTTCCTCCGCTGGGATCTGGTTTGTTCTCTCCCACAGTACGTTGTTGCTAATAGTGTCCGGCCGACGGATCTGAAGTATTTTGCGTAGACAACTGTTAATAAACACCTGTATCTTCTGGATGATGGCTTTCGTAGTTCTCCAGGTTTCCGCCCCATACAGTAGAACTGCCTTGACATTTGTGTTGAAAATTCTGATCTTGGTGTTGGTTGACAGACAGTTGCTTTGAGTTCCAGATGTTCCTCAGTTGTAAATATGCTGCTCTTGCTTTGCCGATCCGCGCCTTCACATCTGCATCAGATCCACCCTGTTCACCAATGATGCTGTCCAAATATGTAAAGGTTTTTACATCTTCCAAATCTTCTCCATCAATTGTGATTGGATCGGTGCATGCTGTGTTGTATCGGAGAACCTTGCTCTTTCCTTTGTGTATATTGAGACTTACTGTTGCTGAGGTTGCTACTACACTGTTCGTCTTCTCCTGCATTTGTTGTTGCATTTGGGATAGAAGGGCCAGATCATCTGCGAAGTCCAGATCGTCCAACTGCATCCTAGATGTCCATTGTATCCCGTGTTTCCCTTCAGATTTTGACGTCTTCATGATCCAGTCGATCTCCAGGAGAAAGAGAAAGGGTGAGAGTAAGCAACCTTGCCTAACACCGGTCTTCACTTCGAACGACTTTGTCAACTGTCCTCCATGCGTAATTTTGCAATTTAGTCCATCATAGGAATTCCGTATGATATTGACTATCTTCTGAAGCACGCCGTAGTGTCGAAGAAGTTTCCATAGTGTTGTTCTGTCCACGCTATCAAATGCCTTTTCGTAGTCAATGAAGTTGATGTAGAGTGATGGATTCCATTCAATTGATTGTTCCACAATGATCCGTAGAGTTGCGATTTGGTCTGTACACGATCTATCCTTACGGAATCCTGCCTGTTGGTCACGAAGTTGGGCGTCTACGCAGTCCTTCATCCTGTTTAACAATACTCTGTAGAAGACCTTTCCCGGTATTGAAAGTAGAGTGATGCCCCTGTAGTTATCACAGTTGCTGAGATCGCCTTTCTTTGGTATTTTGATCAGAAGTCCTTCTTCCCAGTCTTTTGGTACTTGTTCCTCATCCCAAATCTTATTAAAGAGAATGTGGAGTATCCTTGCAGTTGCCGCTACGTCTGCTTTTAGTGCCTCTGCTGGAATGTTGTCCAGTCCTGCTCCTTTGCCACTCTTGATTTGTCTGATGGCCATGCTGATTTCTTCAATTGTTGGTGGACCAACATCCATTGAGAGACCCGTGAGTGCTGCATCGATGTTGGGTGGGTTCAGTGAAGCTAGTCGATTCAAGAGTTCTTTGAAGTGTTCTACCCACCTGTTTTGTTGCTCTCCAATATTGATGATTACCTCGCCTTCATTGCTTTTCACTGGTCGTTCTCGTTTGCGGCGATTTCCAGAGAGTTTCTTTGTTATTTCATACAGTTGTCTCATGTTCCCTTCTCTTGCAGCCTTTTCCGCCGTCATTGCTGGATTTTCCACATATTTACGTTTGTCGGTTCTGATGCTCTTCTTCACTTACTTGTTTACTTCTGTGTATTCAGCTTGTGCCTTGGCTTTTTCTGCTCTTGTTCGACTGGTATTGATTGCTGCCTTCTTGTTCCTTCTTTCTTGAATCTTATCCAGTGTATCAACAGTGATCCATTCCTTGTGATGATGCTTCATGTGACCCAGGACCTCATGACATGTTGAAGTGATTGCCTCTTTGATCCCCTTCCAGTTGCTCTCCACAGTAGTTCCTTCTCCATTGAGTAGATCATGAAAGGCCTGGAACTTGTTGTTGAGGTCTATCTTGAATTTGTTGAGTTTGTTAGTATCCTGAAGAAAGGCCGTATTGAACTTATGTGATATTGTCCGCCCCATTGTCCAGTGCTTCTTGAGTTTCAATTTCATCTTGGCGACCAGCAAGTGATGATCTGATGCTATATCAGCTCCTCTCTTGATTCTCACGTCCTCTATAGTCCTCCTGAACGTTTTGTTGATGCAAATATGGTCGATTTGGTTTTGCGTGGTGTGATCCGGTGAAGTCCATGTGGTTTTGTGAATGCGTTTATGTGTGAATATGGTGCCCCCCTATGACCAGTTTATTGAATGCACATAGGTTTGCAAATCTCTCACCATTTTCGTTTCTTTCTCCCAGTCCATGTCGTCCCATGATGTTTTCATATCCATTGTTGTCCGTTCCAACCTTGGCATTGAAATCTCCCATCAGAATGGTCAGATCCTTTGTTTGGCACTTCTCGACGATTGACTGCAGCCTATTGCAGAATTGATCTTTAGCGTCTTCATTGTAATCGTTGGTAGGCGCATAGCATTGGATGATATTCATTGTAATGCCAATCTTTTTTGTTTTGAAGGAGGCTTTGATGATCCTTGGTCCATGAGATTCCCATCCTATAAGTGCATTTTGTGTTTGTTTGGACAGCATCAATGCAACTCCTTGTGTATGTGGGGGATTTTCTTCATCATGGCCGGAGTATAATAGAAGATCCCCTGAAGTTAGTCGTTGTTGTTCAACTTGCGTCCAATGTGTTTCACTGATCCCAAGTACCTTTAGGTTGTATCTTCTCATTTCTGCAGCAATTTGGAAGGCTCTCCCGGTCTCCCACATTGTACGAACATTCCATGTACCTAAATAAATGGTTGCTCTGGTTGTCAGAAGGGGCATCGGCCTCGTAACTTCCGAAAGAATTCGGCTTTCATCATGAGGCGTCATAGTTCTTCTAAATGAAGACCTTCTGACTCCCAGGGCAGAGGTTAAAACGTTTGAATAATTCTTTCTGGTTAGAGTTTTTTTAGCGAGTTAGTTTTCTACGGGATGGGGACGCTAACCCCATGCCCAACCCTTCTACTTTATCCGAGCTTGGGACCAGCAGTAGCCCACGGAGGGACTCCAGGCGGATTTATTTAAAATATTTAGTTTTACTTAATTTTTATCGACAAAAAATGATTTCGGCAACTGTGTCTGAGTTTTGTTTTATGTTTACTCATTTTATATTTCATTTCATAATTGGCCATTAACTTATCATGTTTGTACAACGTTGAATCCAATAGCCGAAGTATGAAATGTTACGAGATAAATTCATTTCGCGAATTCCGATATTAGTTGACATTCATATTAATAAGCGACAAACAAACCTTAAATTTTCACTCGTTAACTCAAAATGTTAATAGTGTGGAGAAAGGGAATGGATAATGTAATTAGTGTACAGATACACATATACAGAAAATGTATACGTGCCGAATTACAAGCATGTCTATTAAAGGTCACAATAAGCTAAGAAGAGAACTGGAGGGTATAGTTGACTCAATTGTCACATGGTATCTGATCTATGAAATTGTGTCGAAACGTTTTAGTGAAAAACAGAGAAGCTGCTGCAGATGGTCAGCGTCTACACTAAATAACGTGAACAATAAAATACATATGAAAGCTGTTTTATGAACGAACTAATAACTACACTACCAAAGTTATCTTTGTAAGATTACTAAAGGTATTCAAATTAATGTGCTTACTAGGAATTCCAAAATAATGCGATTTAAAACAGTTGGAACCAGATGAACACAAGTGAACGTATCATATTTTGAACTTGTGATAAGTGCGCAATCAAGTACAAAGGAATCGTCAGTTAGTGTGAGTACCACTACCGCAACAGTTTGAAGTGGAATTTAAATTTCTGTAATCAATTGTACTCCTCCTTAGATTCATTGTATGTCTATCTGACTTTGTATTGGATGTAAATTCTGTATGATCTAGAGTATACTCATTAGTATTGGAATTAACAACCGAAATTGAAACAGACTCACCTGGTTCCAGGGATTGTATTTGACCAACATGTTAGTTGTGAGTACTTAAATCATTGGTATCTAGAATTCGAACCATAGATTTTCTAATATTCTTCACTACAATCCTCTTGGATGATTAAGATTTTTTCCACCATAATATGTAACTTCTGCAGATTCGAAAACCCTCATATTCAAACAGAAAATCCTTCCTTTTAATGGCTTTGATGGTGTCTTTTTCATTACAGAATGTTAAGCATTTCTATATTGTAGTAGAAATGTGCACACTCCTCTTCTTTAGTTCATCAGATATTGAAGCAGCATTGAAATTAGTAGCAGTTTTTAATGTCCTGACGAACATTTTTCCCGACCATTAGAACAAGGAAGCCTGGTGTTGGGACGGCTTCTGTGAACTATGATGGAGTCTTCAGAAGCCTTGGAAGAGTTGAAGAGTTCCACACAATCAGAACGTAATGAAGCTTTCTAGAACAACAACGTGGCATGCTACTATTAGTCAGTAACATAACACGCCTCTTTGCGGTATGGTTGAATTATAATATTGATTGAACAGACACTAATATTTAGAAAATACTCATGATTTTCTGTACATTTTGATTCTTGCCCAACGAGCACTTTCTTCAGTCTTCTGTCTTCTTAT